GTGTAAAAAATGTACATACTGTCAATTTTTTATTAAAAGAAATACGCTTTAGGGATGCCTGGCTGGCTCAGTTGCTAGAGCATACAGCTCTTGATCTTGGGGTTCTGAGTTTGAGGCCCACGTTGGGTCTAGAGCTTACTTTTAAAAAAAGAAAAAGAAGAAAGAAATAAGCTTTGTTGTGCTAACATAACTGCTGTAGCTTCTTGTGTACCATAGTTCTATGTAGCTTCAGATTTAGTACCTGTGAACAGACATACAAGACCTTTATTACACTTTTTACCAAAGGGAGTTACCATTATACTACTTTTGTATAAAACTTGTCATCCCCCTTGCCCCAACTTTTTTTTCTTTATTCTTTTCTCTTTTTTTGGTAAATAAACAACACTTGGTTCTTAAGGAATAAACTCTCAACCCAAGACCCTTGTCCTCACTAGAGAACTGTTATGGGGCAGGGATTTGGGCTTCAGTTCTTATCCTCACTATAAACAAGATTTTGCTTTAAATAGTTAGCAGTTAATTGCATTTGTCCCAAATCAAAATATTCCCGAATTTTTAAAGATTTTATTTATTTTATTTTAGAGAGCACGAGCAGGGGTAGGACGAGAGGGGGAGAGAGGCAGACTCCCCTCCCAGGCACCCCTTGATGGTTACCTTTAAATGGATGGCTTTTTAAACACAAACTAAAAGCTTGATTGATACTTTTTTTTTTTTTTTTTAGATATTATTTTGTAGGGAGGGACAGGGGAGATGGAGAGAAAATCTTAAGCAGTCTCCACACCCAGCGCTGAGCCTGATGCAGGCTCTATATCATGACCTGTGCTAAAACCAAGAGTCAGATGATTAATGGACCGCGCCACCCAGGCACCCCTCCAAAATTTTTAAATAGAATACTTTGTTCTTTAGGTACATGTTTTTCCCCCTTATTTCAACTGTTTGGAAGTATTTTATATTTGGGTAAGATGTCTAGCTATGCAGTTTGCATTTCTCTGTATTTTTTTTTCTTATCCTTATTGGAAATGGGGGTGAACAACTTATGTACCAAACTGGTATTTGAAAGAAGTATATAAGGTGTATGGTAAAAATGGAGTTGGGAGAGAAAAGATTTGATAGATTTTTAGCAACTGCAAATGAAGTGAGTGTGTGTGTGTGTGTGTGTGTGTGTGTGTGTGTGTGTGTGTAGCTTTATTTATTTATTTATTTATTTACCTAAATGTAGACTAGCAGGCATTTAAACATTAGGATTTTTATATGTGTTCAGCCTGAAGTTTCTGAACAAAGACCAGCTGAGCCCCTCCTAGTACTCTATAGATATTTCTCCAGCAACCATTACCCTAGTTTAGTTGTTAAGTAACCAACGGTATTTTGTGTAGTGTTGTTTGCTTTTTAATTAAAAATCCCCAACACCAAAGAAAGAAAGAAATTATAATACATTCATTTTAACTCATATATTATGTCAAAAAATGTTCAACCTAGAACAGGTAAATAGGCAAGTTATGTTACTGAAAATTGTGGTAAAATACTCAACAAAATTTACATCTTAATCATTTTTAAATGTGTAGTTTGGTGGCATCAAGTACATTCACATTGTTGTACAACTATCACCACCATCCATCTCCAGAACTTTTTTTGTTTGTTTGTTTGTTTGAAGATTTTATTGATAAGTAATTTCTACATCCAGTGTCCAGTGTGGAGCCTGAGCTCACAAGCTGAGATCAAGAGTTGTGTGTTCCACTGACAGAGCCAGCTGGGCATTATCTCAAACTCTCTCTACCCGTTAAACCATAACTCCCCATTCCCTACTCCTGCCAGTCCCTAGTAACCACTGTTCTATTTTCTGTCACTGTAATTTGATTACTCTAGGTACCTGATAAAGGTTAGTTATGTTTTTATAGAAATTAAATGTTACGTGGTCAGCACGATCCCGTGACCATGTCCTATTCAGCAAGAAGCAGGCATGATAATGAGGCTATGACTTTAGATATGTTTGAGACCGTGGAACTGGAGTGGAGTGGGGTTTGTGTATTTTTATGGCTCCATCTTTAAATGTTTAAATCTTTTGAGTCTTCTGAATATATTTCATGAAGCAAGTAAGAATAGTTTTATTTTTTTCCAGTTACTTAGCTCCAATACTGTTTACTGAGCAACTCAGTTTTTCCCTACTGATTTAAGAAAAGGTTTACTTTAAAATTTCAACATGTTGGGCGCCTGGGTGGCTCAGTCAGTTAAGCAGCTGCCTTCAGCTCAGGTCATGCTCCCAGGGTCCTGGGATTAAGCCCCGCATTGGGCTCCACACTTAGTGTGGAATCTGCTTGAGATTCTCTCTCTCTCCCTCTGCCCCTCCTGCGCGTGCATGTCCTTGCTCATTCTCTGTCAAATAAATAAATGAATCTTAAAAAAAAAATACAGCATTTTTCATAGAGCTAGGACAGATAATCCTAAAATTTGTATAGAATATTTACAAAAGACCCTGAATAGCTAGAGCAATCTTGAAAAACAAAACTGGAAGTATCACAATTCCAGACTTCAAGTTATATTACAGATCATAGAAGCCAAGGAAATATGGTACTAACGCAAAAATAGACACACAGATCAAGGGAACAGAATAGAAAACCCAGGAATAAACCCACAATTTATGTGATCAATTAATCTTTAACAAGGGAGGAAAGAATATACAGTGGGAAAAAGACCGTCTCTTCAACAAATGGTGTGGGGGAAACTGGACCACTTTCTTAACACCATACACAAAAATAAACTCAAAATTGATTAAAGACCTAAATGTAAGAGCTGAAACCATAAAAATCCTAGAAGAGAGCATAGGTAGTAATTTCTTTGATATTGGCCATAGCAGCATCTTTCTAGATATGTTTCCTGAGGCAAGGGAAATAAAAGCAAAAATAAACTATTGGGACTACATCAAAATAAAAAGCTTATGCACAGCAGAGGAAACAGTCAACAAAACTAAAAGGCAACCTACAGAATGGGAGAAGATATTTGCAAATGACATGTCTGATAAAGGCTTAGCATCCAAAATATATAAAGAACTAATACAATTCAGTACCCAAAAAACAAATAACCAAGTTAAAAAATGGGCAGAAGATATGAACAGACATTTCTTCAAAGATATACAAATGGCCAACAGACACAATGAAAGATGCTCAACATTGCTCATCGTGAGGGAAATGCAACTCAAAACTATAGTGAGATATCACCTCACACCTCACACCTGTCAGAATGGCTAAAACGAACAACACAAGAAACAAGTGTTGGTGGGAATGCAAACTGGTGCAGCCACCGTGGAAAACAGTTTGGAGGTTCCTCAAAAAGTTAAAAATAGAACCACCTTAGGATCCAGTAATAGCATTACTGGGTATTTACCCAAAAAATACAAAAACTTGAATTCAGAGGAATACATGCAACCCATGTTCACTGCAGCATTATTTACAATAGCCAAATTATGGAAGCAGTCCAAGTGTCCATTGATAGATGATCGCATAAAGAAGATATGTTTCACATATACAATGTAGTATTATTCAGCCGTAAAAAGAGATTGAAATCTTGCCATTTGCCACAACACGGATGGAACTAGAGAGTATTGTGCTAAGTGAAGTAAGTCAGAGAAAGACAAATACCATATGATTTCATTCATATGTGAAATTTAAGAAAGAAAACAAATGAACAAAGGAAGAAGAGAGAGAGAAGCCAAGAAACAGACCCTTAACTCTAGAGAACAAACTAATGGTGACCAGAAGGGAGGTGGGAGGTGGGATGTGTGAAATTGGGGATTAAAGAAAATAAAATTAAGGTCTTAATTTTTCTCCCCATAGGAAGAACTGAAGAATAAGCAATTCTGTTTTAACCTTTTTAATTTTATGCTAAATTTATTTTGCTCTAATAGCACAGTTAACTATCATTTTGTTGTATTAGTTAAGAGAAATATTGGCAGAAGGAAATGAAGTCAGTTTATAATAGGCCCATTTGAGTGAGGGCCTTGGGAAACCCATCAGGAATAAGCCTCGGGATCGGAGAAGGCAGAGACAAGGCGGCAGGCAGGGAGCCTTTTCAGCAGGGCTCACCATTTTTGTTTGTAGGACTTTCTAGGAAATCTTTTTGAGCTGTACTTGTGTGCTGCAGGCACTCTGGGTGAGCAGCCTAGATTAGGTTTAGTGCCCCTCACAGAAGCAAAATCAAATGCCATAAACCTATTCTTTTTTTAATTAGGTGTATTTTGCAATTTTAACGTTCTTCAACTCATAAACATTTGTAGGAAGGGTGAGGGGCAAATAAATAGTCTCGTGGCATGGCACTTATTTTCTGTTTGAGAGATATGTTCCTTTCCCCTCCTTTCCTTTTAATCTTCCTGTTTCCTTGACACCTGCTTCTGAACTCCATCTCATCTCTCCCTGCTGTGACGGTGCGCTAGCACTTCATGGTACCCAAGGCTCTTTCAACTCGTATTTCCCACCAACTGTCAGTTGCAAAATAAGGTTGCTTTGTTTGGCAGGGAAAGGGTAGAATCCTTTCAGAATGTCTCCTTTTCCTTTGAAGCAGGAGCACTTCAGAGACAGTTGAACTGCTTTTAGGTTTTTCTTACCACACAGCTTTTTCTTCTGAGAGATCCTGCCATGAACACGGTTCTGTTGATGACATCGATTTGTTGCTATGGAAATAGTGGTAATGTCACAGATTCAGCCCAGTGACTTTACTTCAGGTTCATGCAGGAGAAATGCGCAAGGCTTTAGGGGAGAACCTCATTAAAACTGAAAGCTATCAATTATGAGCAGGTGAAAGGTAAATGGAGCCAACCTTTTATATAATGAAAACAGAAGTGAACCCCTAGCTGATTGACTGCATGCAGTTGAATACCCCAGCATGAATTCTGACCCATGAGAGTCTTTGACAAAATAAAACATTTACACTTTCTCAGAGTATTTCTTCTACTTAAGTTTAAATCTTTTAACCTGCATTATTTGCACTAAAATTGTCTTTGTTTTGATCCTCAGGACATGGGCAGCAGCAGATAGTTCCTTCCTCAGGACATGGGCAGCAGCAGATAGTTCCTTCCTCGGTCTCAGCGGCCAACCCACCAGCCAGCAAGCCCCAGCAGCAGAATGGGAGCTCAGCAATGGGTAAATGGCCACATGAGGACATGTGCTAATTATATGTATCAGGCTTCTGAATAATGTTTTGAAATGTAATCTGGGACTAAAGGGAATTTTCAAAATGCCATTCATGACTGTTGCTTCTTGCAAAGGAGAAGTCCAGTTCTCATTGTAAAGTGTATGATTGAACAAATGATTAAAGATAGTCTTTTAAAGATAATATGCTTATTTTTATCAGGATGATATACTGTTCTCTGTTAATAATAGTTTATCTGGTACTTTCTCAAGTCTCACATTTTACACTTTCTTGACTTTGCGAATTTACATACCTTTTAAATTCTCGCCTTTTAACTATTTGGAATCCACTTGTCTCTCTCCAAGTTTCCCATTTCGGGTTCTCATCGGAATTTATCTTAACGTGAAGATGGTATCATTTATATTGGTCATAGGTTCTGCTTCCCAGTCTCATGGATGAGAAATAGTTTTTTCCTTTAACGCTCTCTGCAGTAGGTCCTGAGAGGCTATAATGGAACCATTTTGTTTACTTTCTGGCCTTCGCCTTATGAATTACTATTGAAAATGATGATTTGGGTTGGATTTATTTTTAGAGGTTCTTTTTTCTGTCACAACTTCTTATACTCCACCTCTTCCCCTCCCCTCAACTATTGCTAATTTTGAATACTGAGATTTTAAGAAAGGCAAGATTAAGACATCACTAATATTGTTGTGAAACTTTCAGGACATGGGACTTTTTCCCCATTGGACTTTGATATTTTTATCTACCTTGCAATATCTGTTAATGTACCTTCTATCTATCTCTCTTTATAAGTGGATCTATTGATTTCATTTTTTTAAAGATTTTATTTATTTAAGAGAAAGAGTGAGCGAGAGAGAGCGAGATTGAGAGAGAACACAAGCGGGGGAGGGGCAGAGGGAGAAGCAGGCTCCCCGCTGAGCAGGGAGCCTGACTCGGGGCTCGATTCCAGGACCCTGGGATCATGACCTGAGCCGAAGGCAGACGCTTAACGACTGAGCCACCCAGGCGCCCCATAAGTGGATCTTTTTATATACAACTCGCAAATTACGTACTTTGAAGGAGGTCATGGAATAGATTTAGTATCTAAGATGATAAATAATCTAATAGTCACTTCTTTAGGCTGAACTACAAATAGTATGTTATTCTTCTCCCTCCTCCCACAGATTTATTTTCCAAATTGTCTATCTTTGACTTATGTTAACATTTATTTTTAAAAATCAGTTAATGTTATCTAAACACACATCAACTGGGTGGCGAAAGAATAAAAGACTGGCTGTGTATTGAGGGGGAAGCATGTGTGTGTGTGTGTGACATATAACTGTATCTTATAGAGAATATTAGGTATGTATACACACACATACATTCTTCAGAGTTCATGTGCTTCCTTGTGTAATCTTGAGGCAGTTATTACTGTTGTGTGTATAGTTCTCTCTTGACTCCCCAGTTAGAGTAGAAAATGGTAAGATCCAGGACAGTCTATGTATAGTTTTTACTAAGTGCTACAAATACCTAGAATAGTGTCTTACAGGATGTAGAAACTCAATAAAGAAATGCTGGGGGCGCCTGGGTGGCTCAGTCAGTTCAGCGTCTGCCTTCGGCTCAGGTCATGACCCCAGGGGCCTGGGATCGAGCCCCGCACTGGACTCCCTGCTCAGCCCGGGAGCCTGCTTCTCCCTCTGCCTGCTGCTCCCCCTGCTTGTGCTACTCACTCTCGCTTGCTCTCTCTGACAAATAAAATCTTTAAAAAAGAAAAAGAAATGCTGAATAATGGTAGATTTACATTTCCAGCCAAATTCCATCCTAAAGAAATGCTTTGGTAGAGAAGATATCAAGTAATTGGACGAAGTTATATTTTCTGAATTTGGAGGCTGAAACTTTATAGAAACTGTGCATGTAAAGGAGCTCATGTGTCTGTAGGCTCTAGTGACCTGCTCTTTCCAAGCGCACGGTAGCTGCTCAGGCTTGGGTAAAAGAGCAGAGGGGATCCTGGCGTGTGGCCGCCTGGTTGTGTTGACCCGAAGGGCTCCTGTCCTTCGCTCCTAGCTAAACCCAGTCCCTAGACTTTGTTAGAGACTTTAGTACCGGAGACCTTTGGAACACGGGAGTCTTCCCAGGACGTTTTAAGGTAAACCATTTGTGATAGGTATCCTTTACCTCATATGGTTCATTCAGTATGTCCCTTACCTCCTAGCCTTTCCTTTTTCTTTTTTTTTTTCTTTTTTTTAAGATTTTATTTATTTATTTGACCGAGACAGCAAGAGAGGGAACACAGGGGGAGCGGGAGAGGGAGAAGCAGGCTTCCCGCCGAGCAGGGAGCCTGACGCAGGACTCGATCCCAGGACCCCGGGACCATGACCTGAGCCGAAGGCAGACGCCCAACAACGGAGCCACCCAGGCGCCCCTTGCTTTTTTTTTCTTATGCATCTAGTGACTTGCTATCAGTTTTATGGTCAAGAAGGCTGGTTGATTTTCTCTGACCCACTATCTTGCCCATTGATACAAAGGACAGTTTAAGAAGGATGGGCTTCTGGGGCGCCTGCGTGGCTCAGTTGGTTGGGCGTCTGCCTTCGGCTCGGGTCATGATCCCAGGGTCCTGGGATCGAGGCCCACGTTGGGCTCCCCACTCAGTGGGGAGCCTGCTTCTCCCTCTCCCTGTGCAGCTCCCCCTGCTCATGTGCTCTCTTTTTCTCTCTCTCACTCTCTCTCTCTCTGTCAAATAAATAAATAAAATCTTGGGGGGGGGGAGAAGGATGGGCCTCCGAAAGAGCATTGTCTATTCTCAGTATAATTATTATCTTGACTTCAGTCAGAGCTTCAGTTAGCAAATGTAGTAAACTTCTGTGTGCCCAGGCCTTCATTTTCAGTTGCTTTTCTACCTCCTGTTTTGGTCTCTATTTGATCTCCATATCTCTTGATTACTAAAAAGGAAAAACTTTGCCTCTCATTTTGTTTGATTTCACCAGCAACACCTCAGTCATTGAGAGTTAGTACAAAATTTATATAAAATTTACATAGAATAATGATGGTCCTCCTTTGTGTTTGTTTTTAAAGGTTCCACTGCATCTAAGACTTATGGTGTCTCAAAGACACTTGGAAAAGCTGGAGGTACCAGCCTCGTGAACAGTTCTGGAGGAACACAGGTCAAAGTGGTACCCATTGCCAGCCTCACCCCTTACCAATCCAAGTGAGTTATTCACATAGAGTAAGTTCAGAATGTGCCTATGATGTGAGGTTAGAGCTTATTACGGGCTCTTGAGTTATTTATGTGGGAACGTAGGGGTTACCATACATAAAGTAAGTTTCATCATTTTTTTTTTTTAAGATTTTATTTACTTATTTGACAGAAAGAGACACAGCGAGAGAGGGAACACAAGTAGGGGGAGCAGCAGGCAGAAGGAGAAGCAGGCTTCCCGCTGAGCAGGGAGTCCAATGCGGGGGCTCAATCCCAGGACCCTGAGATCATGACCTGAGCAGAAGGCAGACACTTAATGACTGAGCCACCCAGGCGCCCCCATCTTTTTTTTCCTCCAACGGGGGAGGAGGGTACAAATTGTGGCAAACTTCAACTCTCTTACCATAAAAGAATGGCAAGAAAAGCAATCTGCTATAGCCTATGGAGTTTCATTTCTTTTGAAAGAATTTGAATTGAAAAATATTTAATGCTGAAAGAATCCATTTATCATCTTATGAGTAAAAATAAATATTTTTTGTAATTCAGAAGGCGTTTCATCTTCTCATGATATAAATAAGTGACTTTCAGTCTAAAAACTGTTACTATGATTTAGTAGCCTAAGAGAATCTGTACTGTTTGTATAGCCACATTATTAATATACCCTGAACAGATATTTTCCATTAAAAGTTAATTTTAGCAGTTAAAAATTAGTGAGTTCTGGGGCACCTGGGTGGCTCAGTAATCTTAAAAAAAAAAAAAAATTAGTGCATTCTCTTTCCAGAATTCTTTCAGATGTGTTTTTATCTAATCTTCAATTCTTTGCAGTGCAGGGAAAATGAGTAAGGTAACTAATGTGCCCAACACTTGTGTTCAGTATGGGCCCCAGGACTGGGTATTGGATCTTGTACCTCCTTTTTTTTTTTTTTTTTAAGATTTTATTTATTTTGACAGAGAGAGACACAGCAAGAGAGGAACACAAGCAGGGGGAGTGGGAGAGGGAGAAGCAGGCTTCCCGCTGAGCAGGGAGCCCGATGCGGGGCTCGATCCCAGGACCCTGGGATCATGACCTGAGCCGAAGGCAGACGCTTAACGACTGAGCCACCCAGGCACCCCCGTACCTCCTTTTTTTTAAGTGGCCTCTGTCTGAGGTCATACTGCTTTAGCGTGTTTTCTTTTGGTGGCTTACCAATACCACGTCCCATAATTTTGTATTTATATATTCAAGGTGTGTTAGAATGTAGACAAGTTTGACACCAGTTTTATCAGTTCCCATAATTGAAAATAGTGGCAAAATATAATTGCTGGTATTACTGCATCTTCTAGCTTAGAACCTTTCATTAAGGGGATACCGTTGCCTTGGTGATGCTTTTTGGAGAAGGGAGAGAGTTTATAAATTTACTAATTTGACAGGAGAATGAGTTAATGTTAAATCATCTTGTATGTTTTACTACTTGCTTATTCTACAAACTGTCAAACCTATATGTCATCGTGGGGTTTTAATTAGCTGGATTAAAATACAGCTTACATTGAAAAATGGAATATGCATAAGAAAGGCTATAGGAAGATGATAGGGAACCTTTTAGATCTGTCCCAGGTAAGCCTCTGAGCACTAATATAATCTATTTGATTTTTAGGTGGACTATCTGTGCTCGAGTTACCAACAAAAGTCAGATCCGTACCTGGAGCAATTCCCGAGGGGAAGGGAAGCTTTTCTCCATAGAACTAGTTGATGAAAGTGTGAGTATTTGTCAAGTGGGCAGATAGGAGCAGTCTGAGAAACAGGCCTGTGTGATGAAAAACCGGAGTAGGCCAGAAATAAACATAATTGTTATTATTGTCTTTCCTCTCTTATAGTCTTTTGATGCTCTCTAGGAGCAAAGGGTTAAAGGTCTTTTTTTTTTTCCCCCAGAGGGGGTTGTGTGGGGGGAGGGGGAGAGAGAATCTTAAGCAGGCTCCACACCCAGTTTGGAGCCTGACATGGGGCTCAACCTCTCATCCCTGAGATCATGACCTGAGTTGGATGCTTAACCAACTGAGCTTGCCAGGTGCCCCAAAGGGTTAAAGGTTTTAAATAAAATCCTTTTATTTTGTTTTATGTTAATTTTTTTTTTTTTTAGATTTTATTTATTTGAGAGAGAGAGAATGAGGGATAGCACGAGAGGGAAGAGGGTCAGAGGGAGAAGGAAAAGGAGACTCCCTGCTGAGCAGGGAGCCCGATGTGGGACTCGATCCCGGGACTCCAGGATCATGACCCGAGCCGAAGGCAGTCGCTTAACCAACTGAGCCACCCAGGCTCCCATGTTACATTATTTTTAAAAATTTTCTTTTAAAGATTTTATTTATTTGACAGAGAGACACAGCAAGAGAAGGAACACAAGCAGGGGGCGTGGGAGAGGGAGAAGCAGACTCCCCCGCTGAGCAGGGAGCCCGATGTGGGGCTCGATCCCAGGATCCTGGGATCATGACCTGAGCCAAAGGCAGACGCGTAACGACTGAGCCACCTAGGCGCCCCATAAAAATTTTTTTAAATTTATTTATTCTTTTTAAGTAGGCTCCATGCCCCAAGTGCAGCTTGGACTCATGACCCTGAGATCAACAGTCACATACTCAGGGCGCCTGGCTGGCTCAGTAGGTAGAGCATGCGACTCTGTTGACTCTCTCTCTCTTTTTTTTAAGATTTGTTTATTTGAGAGAAGGAGCACATGAGTTGCAGGGATGGTGCAGAGGGAAAGGGAGAGAATCTCAAACAGACTCCTCACTGAGTGCAGAGTCTGACTCAGGGCCTCGTCGCACAGCCCTGAGATCATAACCTGAGTCGAAACCAAGAGTCAGACACTCGACTGACTAAGCCACCCAGGCACCCCTAGAGCATGGGACTCTTGATCTCGGGGTTGTGAGTTCGAGCCCCATGTTGGGTGTGGAAATGACTTAAACAAACAAAATCTTTAACAACAGCAAAAAAAAAGAGTTGCATACTCTACCAGCTGAGCCACCCGGGCGCCCCTAAAATCCTTGATATTAATGATTTTATTTCTGAGAGTCACACACTCTACCAACTAAGCCAGTTAGGCGCCCCTGAAATCCTTGATTTTAAATGAAAGCATTTGTAGCAGTAGAAATTAGTTTTCAAATGTTTGAGCAGTCTCATGAGCAAGAGAAACCAGAGACACTCTGTCTGACCTGTTTGCAGGCTAAATTGAAGCCCTGAGAAGTGATGTCTGCTTATGAGCAAAGTGTTGCTTTGGGCCACAGCAGAAAGCATGCACCAGCCACCTTGAGAAGTGAACGGTTTTGTGGGAGATGGATTCTGCCTCTGTAGACTCTATGCTTTACTTAAACAAAACCAAACCATGATGAAGAGACAAAAAATCCACAATGTGGAATCTTGACAGTCTTGTTAGCCATTTCTCTGTTAGTTATGTTTATAATTCCTAATATGTACTTGATACATTGTTTTCAAGCTGCTGCATATTTCCTATTGGTTCAGACTTCTGAGAAGGCAGAAAAAAAATAGGTGGTTTGTTTTTGGAAGATGGACTGATACCCCAAATGTATGGACTGTATGATGGCAGAATCAATATCAGAACCTCATTTTTTACCAGATTATCAGTCTAATCTGTCAGTTCGCTAAAATTTCAGCCCTTTCTTTAAGTTTCTTATCCATCTGAAGTTTGTTTTTGTTTTAAGTAATCTCTATACCCAACGTGGGGCTTGAACTTACAATCCTGAGATCGAGTCGCATGCTCCCCTAACTGAGCCAGCCAGGCTCCCCATCTATAGTATTTTGACTGATGGAAAAGTAAAAGTGAAAATCAAATCACAAGCAACTTGAAAACATGATGTATTAACAACATTTTGGCAGTAACTCCCAAATATGATGTAATTCCTTGCTTGGTAGGAGCGTGAGGGCAGCTGGTGAATCATTTGGCTCATCACACTTCCTCGTGGGCTTCATTTGTGTCACTCAGTGTTCAGAATTTATTTTTGTTGTCAGAATATTAAAATCACTAGGTTTCTTGTGTTTTTTTGTTTGCTTTTTTTTTTTTTTTTTTAGGTCTCTAACTTGAGGTTAATAAAGCACCACAGCAGGATCGGCTAGTTAAACCTTGGTTGTTCCATTGTGAATAACTTGAATATGTGACTATAAAATGTGTGTTTCTGGGGTGTCTGTAGTTCTCACCCATTCTGTTTGTGCCTGTGTGACTGCCTTAAAGATCAGGGGTAAAACTTGATAAGCACAATTCTAACCTGCTCTCGCATGCTTCTGCAGGGTGAAATCAGAGCTACTGCTTTCAATGAGCAAGTGGACAAGTTCTTTCCCCTTATCGACATGAACAAGGTAGGGTAGTGTTACATTGAGAACTGAAACCATTGAGTGGTACTGGGAAGAGGGAGGGATCTCTCGTTCATCGGAGAACTGCGTGGTGGTAAGGAGTTGTTTGTTGAATCTGATGGACCACCCCTGTTCCATGGCTTGCCTTTTTGCAGGTCTATTATATCTCCAAAGGCACCCTGAAGATTGCTAACAAACAGTTCACAGCTGTTAAAAATGACTATGAGATGACCTTCAACAATGAGACTTCTGTCATGCCCTGTGAACATGGTCATCATTTACCTACAGTTCAGTTTGATTTCACAGGGATTAGTGAGCTGGAGAACAAGGCTAAAGACTCACTTATAGGTAAGTCTGCGTATGAGAGCAAAGAGAGTTGTGATTACTGGTTTTGTTGGCAACATGTAAGGGACGTGTACGACTGAAGTGCTTGCCATTCAACCTTTGATCATGTTGTAATGGGTGCCTTGACCATTTTTGCTAACACATTTTGCCTGTATTTTAGACATAATTGGGATCTGCAAGAGCTACGAAGATGCCACCAAAATCACAGTGAAATCTAACAACAGAGAAGTTTCTAAGCGAAATATCTATTTGATGGACATGTCAGGGAAAGTGGTCACCACTACTCTGTGGGGAGAGGATGTAAGTAGTTGCCTTGAGCAGTCAGAGCATGTGCAGAAGGCAGAGACCTAGTAGAGAGCCGGGCGGCTGTCTTGTCTTAAGAGTTGTGGGGCTTTGGCCGTGTGGGCCCTCCCTAAAGAAGGATTGAGCTGGCCAGGGAATATCCGAAATCCTTTATTTGATTTACTTCTGTGAAATATGCTGTGATCTTAGTCTTACACAGTGAAATGATCTTTCCTCTAACTCTAGATTAGTTTTACTGTATCTTGGAACAGATTCTTGGGTGAGAGGTTATCTTGGATAGATTCCATGTACCATTTATTGCATTTACTCTGCTATTGACTGTTTTCCTTGTTTTCTATAAAAATGTTCTGTGTGTTCTTCCTGCTAGTGACACCTGTTCACTGTATTTGTTTGGTGTTTTTGTTATTATTCAGGCTGATAGATTTGATGGTTCTAGACAACCCGTGATGGCTATCAAAGGAGCCAGAGTTTCTGATTTTGGTGGACGGAGCCTCTCTGTACTGTCTTCAAGCACGGTCATTGTGAATCCTGACATCCCGGAGGCCTATAAGCTTCGTGGATGGTAGGTTTTATGGGACTAACCAAAGGGGTTATTTGAGCCCGACCTTTGAGTGAGAAGAGCTGGCTCTTTTTGCTCTTATGATCAGTGTGTGAGCTATCTGCCGAGCAGAGGGCTTTCTTACTGAATGGAGCAGTCCCTATATTTCTTGGAAGCATTATGCCTTCTGAGAGAATGGCTTTAAAGCCCTTAAACCCCTTAAACTGACAAACCTGTAATCCCATGACAAACCCAGATATTGCAGAGGAGGCCGGCAGAATGGAAGTGCTGTGCTGCAGCCGACCTCGATCCTGCCAAAGTAAGGGGCAGCCAGGCTCTCACAGCTGTGTGCAGGACTGTGAGTGGGGGGCAGTTTTGTTTCCTAGGTTTAAAGCTGTGGGCTCCCAGGGGGTGGGGAAAGAATGTGCTTCCTTGTTTTGTCCACTTGGTGCTGAACGCATCTTCTGGTGTGTGTTCACTGGACTCTGATAAAGTGCGGTGGGAACAATGGGCTTTTGTTGGCATTGTATTGTTATTCCCCAAGTACTCAGGGGCTGAGGAAAGCCTATTAAAATCTCCTCACTATATCTAGCTTTGTAGGGTGTTAAAACTCTGCCTTTAAGGAGCACTTCAGACTGAAACATGGTATGCAAGAATTGATGTGGTCAGGGAAAACACTTTAACTAGCTTGAGTTTTAATAATTTGTATAGCTGTAGTCCCAGGGGAGTTGTGTCGGGTTCCACCTCTGGCCTAGGGTTTTAGTACTTAAAGAATTAGCTCCTGTGATAGACTTCTCACTTTTATTCTGAGTGTAATGTGAGCCACTAGAAGCACTAGTATTTGAATGATTTCATGAAACAGCTACTCAAGTGTTCATGTCACTCAGGCTGGCCTCTGAGTATCTATCCTGGTAGCTGGCATGGCATTAGAAGGCAGGGCCTATTGGTAGTCTGACCAGAAATAACGACAGCTTTGGTTTGTCCTTATTGCTTGATTTTCTTTTGGACTCTAGAGCTCGACCCCAGGTTAATTGCATGCCCACATTAAGGTCTTCATATTTTACTTGTCAATAACAGTGATCCTGGTCAACATAAAAAGACATGGCTGTCTCCAGAATAAAATGACTGGCATTGATCCAAGAGAAGTTCAATGCATACATCCCACCTAGGCAAGGATTGGAGATGTTAGATCTTGGTTATAACAATGTGGGGTTTTTTATTGTGAGAAGGGCTGCCTCTGTCCTTGCTCTGTTGATTCCTGATGAGCTATCTTTAGTGGCAAATATCTCCTTGGAGTTTTTGAAACCGTAAACTGGTGTAGCTAGTAGTGGTGAAACAGATTTATGGACCTTGCTGTGCTTCTGTGACGGATTTAGCCGCTTACCTGACAGAATGTGAAGGCAGTTGTCTGCAGCTTAAGGCAGCATCCATTCTGTTAGATGGTCTCTTTTTAAAAAGCCTGTTCTGTATGTGTTTAGCTTTTAGTTATCCTCCTTTTAGATGACATTGGCATGTTTTTAATCTCAGACTGACTCTTCCCTGCCACAAGTATGTTTCTGAGCCACTTTCCTTCATATCAGCTGATGTGTGATCAAGAAGTATAATCAGTTTTGGGGCGCCTGGGTGGCTCAGTTGTTAAGCGTCTGCCTTCGTCTCAGGTCATGGTCCCAGGGTCCTGGGATCGAACCCCGCATCCGGCTCCCTGCTCAGCAGGGGGCCTGCTTCTCCCGCTCCCACTCCCCCTGCTTGTGCTCTCTCTCTCGCTGTCTCTCTCTGTCAAATAAATAAATAAAAATCTTTAAAAAAAATTTTTTTAGTATAATCAGTTTTAATAATACTGTAGCATGAATTAATGTTAATTTTGATATTGGCATAGGTAAAATCTCACTAAGAAGATATTATCTATCTTCTGTTAAATTACTTTGGATTGTATAATCCTTTAAACTCTGTATCAGGCTTATCAGATTGTTTTTTAAGATTTTATTTATTTGAGGGCGCCTGGGTGGCTCAGTTGGTTAAGCGACTGCCTTCGGCTCAGGTCATGATCCTGAAGTCCCGGGATCGAGTCCCGCATCGGGCTCCCTGCTCAGCGGGGAGTCTGCTTCTCCCTCTGACCTTCCCCCCTCTCATGTACTCTCTCTCTCTCTCATTCTCTCTCTCAAATAAATAAATAAAATCTTTAAAAAAAAAAGATTTTATTTATTTGAGACAGAGCACAAGCTGGGGGAGGGGCAGAGGGAGAGGGATAAGCAGACACCCCACTGAGCGTGGAGTTCGAGGTGGGGCTCAATCCTAGGACCCTGGGATTATGACCTGAGCCGAAGTCAGATGCTTAGAAGTCAGACACTTAACCAACTGAGCCACCCAGGTGCCAGGCTTATAAGATCTTTTACCATGGGAACGTTTTTTGCCACCATGTTATATTATGGGGACTGCCACTTTCTATGCTGATATATTTCAGTAATGATAAAAATGCAGCTATTGACTGAGAATGAGCATCAGTAGCCTAAAGAACTATGTACCAGATGCTAATTTAAGAAAAGGTTGTTGTATTTTGGCGCTGTCTTTCTTGACCACTGGGGGGCATCAAAGCAATTGAGATGAAAAGAGGTCATTCCCTTCCTGCAGTTGGCTTAAGATACAAGGAGGAGGGTACTAACTTCAGCCCACGTGACCATGACCGATGAGTAGGGGTTGGGGGTGTGGATGGCCTGAATCTGGCAGTTAGAAACAAGTAATATATTCAATAAATATATATAAAGTACCTGTCGTTCTTTGTTTATTTTTCAGGTTTGACTCAGAAGGACAAGCCTTAGATGGTGTTTCCATCTCTGATCTAAAGAGTGGAGGAATAGGAGGGAGCAACACCAACTGGAAAACTTTATTTGAGGTTAAATCAGAGAACCTGGGCCATGGTGACAAGGTATCCCACATTCCTAACTTTATTCACAAAAGCACATAAAGTGTGCAAAAGGATGAGTTTTCAAACCTGATTTCTAGTACTAGGTGTCAGACATTCATTCAGAGCTATGATTCTTAACCAGTGCTCTGACCAGAGGATGACGTGACGGTGGAGAATCACTGTCAGGGTGAGGGAGCCATGCCTCCATGTATTTCTCACATATCTTTTTTTTTTTTTTTAAGATTTTTTATTTATTTATTTGACAGAGATAGTGAGAGCAGGAGCACAAGCAGGGGGAGTAGGAGAGGGAGAAGCAGGCTTCCCGCTGAGCAGGGAGCCCGATGCGGGACTCGATCCCAGAACCCTGGGATCATGACCTGAGCCGAAGGCAGATGCTTAATGACTGAGCCACCCAGGTGCCCCATCTCTCACATATCTTGAGGCAAAAAAAATGTTATGAACTCTGACTTAGAGAGTTGTTTAATTCTTTTTTTTTTTTTAAGATTTTATTTATTTATTTGAGAGAGAGAATGAGAGATAGAGAGAGCACGAGAGGGAAGAGGGTCAGAGGGAGAAGCAGACTCCCTGCTGAGCAGGGAGCCCAATGTGGGACTCGATCCCAGGACTCCAGGATCATGACCTGAGCTGAAGGCAGTCGCCCAACCAACTGAGCCACCCAGGCGCCCAAGAGAGTTGTTTAATTCTTAGAGGGATCTTAATGAAGAGGTAATGACTTCAGGTCCATATTTATTTTTGCTGATTGTTCCTGCAAATCAAAATGCCACATACCAAGAAGATGTGTTCTGAAGTTAGAGCCAACACTGAGCATTAGCGAGGCTCCGTGTCAGACATCAGGCAGTTCACGTAGGCCTTCACTGGCTGCACGATACTAACCTCTCATGGGCCAAACGTTTGCCACTATTTTCTGACAGGAACTGGCTCTTGTATTCGACTTTAGTTGCAGCTTCCTTCCAATGTTTGTATGTAATTACACTCTTCCCGTCTTTTTTTTTTTTTTAAGATTTTATTTATTTATTTGATAGAGACACAACGAGAGAGGGAACACAAGCAGGGGGAGTGGAAGAGGGAGAAGCAGGCTTCCCGCTGAGCAGGGAGCCTGATGCGGGGCTCGATCCCAGGACCCTGGGGTCATGACCGGAGCCGAAGGCAGACGCTTAACGACTGAGCCACCTGGGCACCCCTTCCCGTCTTGATCTAAACCTGTATTCCGCCAGCAGCTCAACATTTAAGTCATTTATTTCTCCTTTATGCTCCCCCAAACACAATTCCTACTTTTATTATTTTCATATTATATAATATAGTTTTTATTTACTGTCTCATTTCACCGTACTCCCTTATCCATCATTGTCATCAATGGCACCTTATGATGCTGTCATAAAGCATCTTGAGAATTAAACATTAGACAGATCTGTGTTGTCCTGGTCAGAGGAGCAGCCACTCTTCAGTTTCTCTTGATACCCAGTGTCCCTCTTAGATCTAAAATGTGTAATAAGAAATCAGGCCTAGGGGCACCTGGCTCACTCACTTGGAAGAGCATGTGACTCTTGGATCTCGGGGTTGTGAGTTCAAGCCCCTTGTTGGGTGTAGAGATTACTTAAAAATAAATAAATAAATTTTTAAAAAAAGAAAAGAAATTAGGCCTGGAGAGCACCTATTTGCACCCTAACTTTAAAGTCATGCATTGAATCTGGATCTTACCTGGAAATACAGAAAAACTCAATAGGCATTCTCCTAGGAGACTTTCTCCTAGGGTGTAACCTCTGTACCCACTGTGGGGCTCAAACGTACAACCCCAAGATCAAGAGTCGCATGCTCTCCTGACTGAGCCAGCCAGATGCCCCGAGACTCACTTTCTTGGAGCCTTCTAGATTGAGGCCTCACTCAGTCTCTTTAAACATTCACATTATTGTTTGATGTTTTTTTGGTCTGAGACATTGGGAAGCCCTGGAGGTTGCCGACCTGGCTCTGAATTCGGAGTACACCCAGAGGGAACTGTTCACCCCCCAAAATTATTCACTCTGTATCCTCTCTTTGAGAGGTAAGAAGTAAAACAAATAGGAACAACATAAAGCAGGAGCACGTGATGTAGTCCTTGCTACATTGACCTCTCGGTGGCCTTCCCGCGTCAACGGCCTAGGCCAGGGTTGGCACACAGCTCATGCGTGCGTTTGCATGCTCACGCAGTGAGCGGCGGCAACAGAGACGGTGACTGGCTCACAAAGCCTAAAATACTTCCTGTCTGGCTTTCTACACAGTTTGCCACCATGGCCTAGACAAAGATGCAGGGCATTGTAGGCCCCGGAAATCACAGCTGTTGTTTTACCCGTGGGAGGGCGGTTGGCCACCGCTGCCCTGGGTTCGCCTGCATTCGCCTGCGTTTCCTCCATCGGTTACCTTTGGAGAGTCCGAGGAACCGGAGGAACAAATCCTGTCTCTTGAAGTCTTTGTCTTTCATAGCGTCTTTTTCTGTTTTGTTTTGTTTTGTTTTTTAAAGATTTTATTTATTTGAAGAGAGAGACAGAGAGAGAGGGAACACAAGCAGGGGGAGTGGCAGAGGGAGAAGCAGGCTCCCCGCTGAGCAGGGAGCCCGATGTGGGGCTCGATCCCAGGACCCCGGGATCACGACCTGAGCCAAAGGCAGATGCCTAACGACTGAGCCACCCAGGCGCCCCTTTTTCTGTTTTTAATTAATTAATTTGGTCTAATTTAGAATTCGCTTTTATTGTTAAAGGATAATACCCTTTAGAACTTAGTTTATTATCTTTGTAGGTTTTGGAGTCAGCACAAGTAATTTCAGAAGCTATAGCATAAATTATTCCCTCTAAAGCCAGTGGAATCTCAGGGATTCGTATATGTAAACACGTGACGCTTACATAGAAGGGCAGGCTGTGGGCAGGTCGAACGTAGGCCTCGTGTTCTAGATCTCATGGCACTCTTTTCTCCCGAAGGCCGACTACTTTAGCTCTGTGGCGACAGTAGTGTATCTTCGCAAAGAGAACTGTATGTATCAGGCCTGCCCAACTCAGGACTGCAATAAGAAAGTGATTGACCAGCAGAATGGATTATACCGCTGTGAAAAGTGTGACAGTGAATTTCCCAGCTTCAAGTACCGCATGATCCTGTCAGTAAGTAGAATGGGCAGATGGGAAGTACTGTGCTGCTTCTTGAGTCCTTGCCAAGAGCCAGGCCCTGTAGAGACAACAGCAAAAGTAAGACTGCTGGGGGCAGGAAGCCTGCGGATGAGTAAGTGCTGAAGAGCTTCTTACTGTTCTAGGAGTACGGCAAGTAAGGGTCCTTTCACTCACCTGAACAGCAGTCTGTCTCCTACTGAGAACTTTTCTTCGTACCAGAAAGTTGCATTTAGGTACCCAGCTGACGGCGGTTGCTGTGTGCGTAGTACAGTTGCAGTGTCGGTGACACTCTCCCGCTAACCCGAGACGGAGGTAGATTCGTTTGAAACAGCGTTTCTGGAGAGCAGTAGTTATACAGCCAGTGCCTGTATTTAGTTCTCTCTCTTGTAGATAGTCTGTTCCTCTTGGCCTTCCTAGAGCTGACTTCTCAGGAATGTGACCGCATGCTGATGTGGGAGTGTGGCTTTTTTGCATTGTAAGAATTGTTTCTGTTTTAAAAACCTTTAAAGTGAAGGGTGTCCTTTAAAAAAAAAAAACATAATACTAAAGGATAATAAAGGTATAAGAAAATAGGTATTCTTGCGTTTTTCCAGAAGGTGATTTGGCAGTAATATATCAGGAGCCTTAAAAATGTTTATATTTTCTGGCACATTAAACACTTGGAGGGAATTTCTTCTAAGAAATCATCAGAGATGTTACAGCTGTGTAAAGTTATTTCTTACTCTGTTATTATGAAAACTTCGATACAACTTAAACTTCCTTAATATTTTATTGGTTAATTCCTTTATTATATAGCTGTAGTGTGGAATACTGTGAAGGCATCAGAATCTGACAATCATTTGACAGTTTTCTACAGTTAAAACATTTGAAAATGACATGAATATATGTTCAGGTTTATTAATTGAAACAGCTAATTTTAAATGGAGTGTTTGATATAGTCTTGAGGTATGTACACACACAGAAAACAGACTTAGAGGACAAATACCAGAGTGTTGATTGAGGTTATTTCTGGTTGATTTCTAGTTTCTTCTGCATTTTCCTTTTTTTTCCCCTTGTAATAGCAAATTTAAATTAAATTAATTAAAAATATTTTTAGATAAAAAATAAAGGATTTTACTTATCCTTTCTATATTCTAATTGCCCCTTAAAATGTTAGTTCACAAAAACTAATGTAATGTATGGTGATTAACATAACATAATAAAAATTCTGAAAAAAAAATGTTAGTTCAGCAGGAAATTCTACATTTCTACATTTAAACTTCCTATTTTTACAGAAAATAAACATAAACTTAACTTCATTGAACTAGGATGGAGAAAGTTGTTTATTTTTTTAATTTAAAAAAATTTTTTTAATTTTAATTTTATTTATTTGACACACAGAGAGACAGCTAGAGAGGGAACACAAGCAGGGGGAGCGGGAGAGGGAGAAGCAGGCTTCCCGCTGAGCAGGGAGCCCGATGTGGGGCTCCATCCCAGGACCCTGGGATCGTAACCTGAGCTGAAGGCAGACGCTTAACGACTGAGCCACCCAGGTGCCCCAAGAAAATTGTTTTAGATGGTTTATCAGCCTTTCTGTGAAACTCATAAATAGGAATCCCAGCACACTGGTTTCACGAGATGGTGTCTCCATTGTCACCCTCCTCAGCTCTTTGCCTCTAGGAATAGCATGAGGTAAACAAACTGTAGGTGTGAACCCTAGTGTGTAATATATTCTCTCATATATGGGAGTGTTTTTAACTTTTCTTGTCCCCTATTTTTTCATCATAACTTTTGATATTAAACCTCCATGTCCATGCCAAGCGAATATGTAGAATCATCAAATGCTACCTTAAAAAAAAAAAAAAAAACCTTTGCTTTCTTATATGTACTAAGACTTTTACTTTAGCAGGTGGATTCTGTGTGATCCACTTTCTTCCCTGACTCTCCCCTGTTTGATTTTACCATTGTCCAAGTGGAGACACTTGATTGCTCATTTCTGTTGCTAGTTAAGTTTGGCAGCTGGATGAAGGCCCTTAAGCTCAAGCTTTTAAATAGTCTGGGATGTTCAGCAGTGAATGGAACTAGTCTTATGGAACTAGTGACTGAAGGATGTAGAGTTTAAAATGCAGAGAACCTGCTGTCACTCTTTGGAGGCTCATTCAAAACCTCGAGTCCAAAGGGCATTGCAGCTGGAGGGGAACCTAGTCTGGTATACCTGGATTCTGTGTCTGAAGGAGAGTTGAGTTGGGTTGTTATCTCCACTGAGATCTGAAATCACATGTCCATGGCATATTGTGTTCCTCCTGTGATCCAGACTTATATTTTAAACTTCTTTCTGTAATATTTTCCTCTTTTGAAAGAAGATAGCATATATAGTGGTAATGGATTTTTCCCTGGGAATTATTTTAATGAATGGAAAAAGTTAATCTTCCAGTCTCCTGAGTATGTCTTCCTTTCATTATTTCTTGGCTGAATTAATTTATAATGTGTTTTTCAGGTAAATATTGCTGATTTTCAAGAGAATCAGTGGGTCACTTGTTTCCAGGAATCTGCAGAGACCATCATTGGACAAAGCACTGCTTATCTTGGGGAGTTAAAAGAGAAGGTTGGCCTCATCTTTTATTATTACTGTAACGGTTGCTAATAACACCCTTTTTTTGCTCTTTAATTTTTTTTTAACTTCTTTGGGGTGTTGTATATAGTTTCTCAGTCTGATGATGTTTTAAGAGCTCATCTGATTCTGTCAAATTTTGTCCACCTTGGGTGTACTAACAATGAGTAATCAAGTAATGTATAAAAAAGTGCTTTATGGGTGCCTGGTTGGCTCTTTCAGTATAGCGTGCAGCTCTTGATCTCAGGGTTGTGAGTTTACGCTCCACGGTGGGTGTGGAGCCTCCTTAAAAAAAAAAAAAAAAGCGCTTTGAAAACAGCACTTTACAAGTATAAAGCACTTACTTCTCCTGTTACTGTTAGCGCACTAAAGTTGATGTGCCTACAATCACTTGAGATCTGGAAGGTATCTTCTGAAGTAATCTGAGATACAGATGTGCCCTTTTAACATAATAAACACCTTCCTGAAAGGTTGAGTCAAATCCTGGTTTAAATTCACATATAAGGTACTTCCTACTCCAGGTCTTCAGATGCAGTTCTTACAAAGTAACTTTCTTTCCTAAGATAACTTTATCCATTTCATTTTTATAAATTTGTATTTTAATATATTAGGTTTATTTAATGTAGGGGATAGATTACTAATTTTGCTAAATGTAGGAAAGATACTCAGATAAAATGTGTAAAGATGGGGACACCTGGGTGGCTCAGTTGGTTAAGCGTCTGCCTTTGGCTCAGGTCATGATCCCAGGGTCCTGGGATGGAGTCCTGCATTGGGCTCCCTGCTCAGTGGGGAGTCTGCTTCTTCCTCTGCCCCTCTCCGCAACTCGTGCTCTGTCTCTCAAATAAATAAATGAAATCGTTTAAAAAAAAAATGTGTACAGATGACCAGTGCGCCTGGGTGGCTCAGTTGGTTAAGCGACTGCCTTCGAGTCAGGTCATGATCCTGGAGTCCCGGGATCGAGTCCCGCATTGGGCTCCCCACTCAGCGGGGAGTCTGCTTCCTCCTCTGACCCTCTCCCCTCTCATGCTCTCTCTCTATCTCATTCTCTCTCTCAAATAAATAAATAAAATCTTTAAAAAAAAATAAAAATAAAGATGACCAATGAAAGCTGTGTTTTCTGGTGTACACAAATTAGCATCTCTCTATAGATTTTTCCCCTTTTCCTCCAAATTGGTTAGAAAATTTATAAATAGGGGCGCCTGGGTGGCTCAGTCGTTAAGTGTCTGCCTTCGGCTCAGGTCATGATCTCAGGGTCTTGGGATCGAGCCCCACATCGGGCTCCCTGCTCCGCGGGAAGCCTGCTTCTCCCTCTCCCACTCCCCCTGCTTGTGTTCCCTCTCTCGCTGTGTCTCTCTCTGTCAAATAAATAAATAAAATCTTTAAAAAAAAAAAATTTATAAATAAACCACTAAGGAAATACACACACACACACACCACTAAGAAAAAAAAGATTTGTCGTTGGTTTGGTGTGTTTTTCTTATTCTTTCCTGGCTTCAGTTTGTCCATTCGGCTCCCCCCTCCCCCAACACACACCTTTTTTAAATTGTTTGTGAGATCTCTGAAAATAATGCCAACAAGCCCCTTTTATAGAAAGAACTGGAATTAACTTTAAAGTATGATGGTATCTTTCATCTGTTTTGCCTGGTTCTTTATTTTCATATCAGATTTTAAGGCTCAAGGCAGCTTTTCAGGGTTTTTTATGAGCTTATTACATTTGACTGTTTTTACTGCTGGTGAATGAGGACATATAGAAACTCTTCCCTCAGGAACCATGATATTCTTGGAGTACATGCTCCATGCTTTCTCTAATCTTGAAGAATAATGGCAACTAGTATAATTTTCTTAAGGTTTAACACATTGTTTTATTTACGTATCTGAAAGCCCAGAGGACTTTGTGTGTATATGTGAAGTAACTTTTATACAAGAGTTCTGTGTGGGCGCCTGGGTGGCTCAGTTGGTTGGGCAACTGCCTTCAGCTCAGGTCATGATCCTGGAGTCCCGGGATCGAGTCCCATATCGGGCTCCCTGCTCAGCGGGGAGTCTGCTTCTCCCTCTGACCCTCTTCCCTCTTGTGCTCTCTATCTCTCATTCTCTCTCTCTCAAATAAATAAATAAAATCTTTAAAAAAAAAAAGAGTTCTGTGTAACAAAACCATTTTCATGTTCCATGTGGTTTGAAAAGGTATTAACTGACATGAACTATTAATTTTATATAAAGTTACTGGAAATGTTAGGCATATTTATATAAAAGGCTTTCTCTGATTCCTGTTTACCAGACATTTTTTTTTTTTAATAAAAAATCTTAATTAGTGGGGCCTGCCTCAGTCCGTGGAACATGTGACTTGTGACTTTTGATATCAGGGTCATGTATTTGAGCCCCACACTGGGTGTAGAGATTACTTAAAAAAAAAAAAAAAAGTAAAAGAAAAGCTTAAATAGGGATGCCTGGGTGGCTCAGTCATTAAGCATCTGCCTTCGGCTCAGGTCATGATCCCAGGGTCCTGGGATCAAGCCCGGAGTCTGGCTCCATGCTCAGCGGGGAGCCTGCTTCTCCCTCTGACCCTCTTCCCTCTCATGCTTTCTATCTCTCATTCTCTCTCTCTCTCAAATAAATAAATAAAATCTTTAAAAAAAATGTGTTTCTAAGAGTGGTTTAATTTTATTGTTATTATGGTGAAATATGCATAACATAAAATTTACCATTTTAACCATTTTTACGTTCAGTACACTCATTAAATACTAATTCTCCATTTCCCCTTCCTCTGGCCCCTGGCAACCATTCTACTTTCTGTCTCTGTGAATTTGACTACTCTAGGTAGAGTATTTTAGTTTATTAATAAAATTCTACCTAAACAGTTTTGTGGGGGTTTTTTTAAGATTTTATTTATTTAAGGTTTTTTTAAGATTTTATTTATTTGACAGAGAGACACGGCGAGAGAGGGAACAGAAGCAGGGGGAGTGGGAGAGGGAGAAGCAGGCTTCCCGCTGAGCAGGGAGCCCGATGTGGGGCTCGATCCCAGGACCCTGGGATCATGACCTGAGCTGAAGGCAGACGCTTAACGACTGAGCCACCCAGGCACCCTTCTACCTAAACGGTTTTATGTAATGAAATGTCAACTATAGATTAGTCCTTCCTAAGTAATTTAAACCACTGGGGGTAAAAAAAATTTGAGATTTTTCTCAAAAGTCTTTTTAAAAATGTTTTTTCTTGGGGCGCCTGGGTGGTTCAGTTGGTTGAACATCTGTCTTCGGCTCGGGTCATGATCCTGGAGCCCTGGGATGGAGCCCCACATTGGGCTCCCTGCTTAGTGGGGAGTTTGTCTCTCCCTCTCCCTCTGCTGTTCCCTCTGCTTATGCTCTCTCTCAAATAAATAAAATCTTAAAAAATAAAAAATTTAGAAAAAATATTTTATTTTTAAGTAATCCCTACACCCAATGTGGGGCTCGAACCTACAACCCCAAGATCCAGAGTCATATGCTCTTCTGACTGAGCCAGCCAGGCGCCCCTTCAAAAATCTTTTTTTTTTTTTTTAAAGATTTTATTGATTTATTTGACAGAGAAAGAGAGCACAAGCAGGGGGAGTGGCAGGTAGAGGCAGAGGCAGAAGCAGGTTCCCCGCGGAGTAGGGAGCCTGATGCAGGGCTCCATCCCAGGACCCTGGGATCATGACCTGAGCCAAAGGCAGACGCTTAACCAACTGAGCCACCCAGGTGCTCCACCCCTTCAAAAATCTTAATGGGTATTTTCAAATGGTCTGGTAGCTTCCATGCCTAAAGTTTTAACGTTTGTTTTTGCAGAATGAGCAAGCATTTGAGGAAGTTTTCCAGAATGCCAACTTCCGATCTTTCACATTCAGGATCAGGGTGAAACTGGAGACCTACAATGTAAGAGGGGTCACCTGGGGTGGGAAGCTACTGTTTGTCACCCACAGCAAGAGTCCGGTGGCAGCTGTCACTTAATTGTGTACTGTGTGCCAGACCCAGGGCTAAGCTCCCTGGATCTTCCCAGCGCTGAGGAAACAAAGTTAGAGAGGTTGAGTGTTCTGTCTAGTGTTGAGCATCTAGAGGGAAATGCTGCATGGTCTCTTCAGTTACAACCTGGGGTTTTTTTTGTTGGTGTACTGACAAAGATTGGTAGGGTGTTTAGTGGACTCACTTCCATGAGGTTTAGGCCCTGAAGGTATGTGAAACGAAGACCACACATAGTTAAAATTGCCTTGAAAATTCCTTTAAGTTGCCTATAACATCATATAATTGGATAGTCCTACTATAACAGCATTTATTGATTACTTACTATCTGCCAGTTACTCTTCTACACCCTTTATTTTACATCTAGTATCTCACTTGATCCTGGCAGTAACCCACATGTAAGAACTACTGTTATCCCCATTTTACCACTGAAAAAATGGAGGCATGCAGAGAATAAATAATATACATAAGTCATATGCCAGCACATGGCAGAACTAAGATTCCGGCCCCAGCTTCAGAGTTTTGCTCTTCACCATCCTTATAAATAGGATTATGTCGTCATTACGAAGCGCATGCACACAGAAGTGCTTGAGCCCTGGAACCAGACTGTGCACCCTTTCTGGGCATCCCGTCATCCTGCCTCTGAAGGCATTGTTGAGTCCTGATGAATGAGTGAGGACGGAGAGTTCTCTCTGCTTGTTTCAGGGTTTCCTCACTCTGTTTTATTATTACACCTTAACCCTAGTACCTGCTAGTAGACACTGAATGAGGTAGGGAGTCAAATGTGATGGAGTGTCAGAGTGAGGTGGGACCCGGGGACGATTTGAGGGGTCGTGCAGTGCTCTCATGGTGCCCACAGAGATGGTGAGGTGCAGAGAGCTTGTCTCTTGCAGAGCTGAGATGGCCCCAGACCAGGTCTTCCTCCTCTGCCGTGGGTGCTTTTGCTTTCACACCAATCTCAGAACTAGCTGTGTGGCTTCAGCAAGTCACTTCTCTTCTCTGGGCTCCTATGTCCCCCTCTGCAGAGAAAATAAATTGACCTAAATCAGCCCGCTGGTCCATCCCATTTGGAATCTAGGCTTCTGAGAGCTTGGGGGCACGAGGGAAAGATGAAGAGGGGCTTCTGTCCACTCTCCCGGCTCCAGAAGTTCCGAACATGGCTCTAACGGGTGATTGTTTTCTGAATTGGAATGACTGAACACTAAGTCCAGCATGCCTTTGTGTTTTCTCCCGCTGGGATCATTGAAACCTCTGAAGCAAAGGGGGTTATCACCACCACTCCATGCCGTGGGCTTTCCTCCGCTCACAGACTGCTTTTCTCTTCTCAAAGGACGAGTCTCGAATTAAGGCCACCGTGATGGACGTGAAGCCGGTGGACTACAGAGAATATGGCAGAAGGCTGATCATGAACATCAGGAGAAATGCGCTGATGTGAGAAGAGCAGGGCTGATGGGGTAGAAGTTTGGAGAGGCAAAGCTGAAATGGAACCGCTTCCTTCCCCCCTCCCCGCGTGACGTTTCCGCGTGAGCTGTGCGGCACAGAGAGCCTCTCTGAGGCGGCTGAAGCGCTTTCCTCCCTCGGGCGCCTCTTGGAGCCCATCGTGCCCGCTGATAGGCACGGCAGACGGGCTCCGACGGCTCTGGTGCAAACTATCTGTCCCAGGGGGTCGGTGGCCCGTAATGTAGTGCCGGCCACTCCCTCTGTCTTCAGGCTTTTGTCCGTTTTATTAAGATTTCATTATCTTCAAGCAGGAATTATGTCACAAGTAATTGACCCTAACTCTGCAGACAGTGAAAGAAATTATGGAATGAGGGTTTCCGCCTCTCCCGTGGCGATACCCTCAAGACTTGGGCTCCCTCTCAGGAGGGGGGGCTGAGAAGCGGGTGTGCGGGGCCTGCACTGTAGTGTGAGTGTGTCTTTCTGGAATGCAAAGGCTCTCTCTTTCGAGAGGTGCCACATAGTTGTTAATGCCTGGAATGGTAATAGGGTAGAATTATTAATCAAAGACATATCTTTTATATCTGAAGAATATCCCTCCTTCAGGGTTTAATAGGCTGAGTCAGATGGGTCTGATATTCATCAAAATTGTCTCTTCTGAGGAAAGCTGATAAGCATTGACTTGCTGTCCCCCAGGGACATCCCGGCAACTACAAAGCATTGCTTTAATTTTCACTTCAATTAATGTTGCTTTTGGGTTGGCGAATGCACACTTTTTCTACCTGTACATATTTCTTACACTTGTATGTTTCATTTCTTGATTAAAGCTATGTTAAATAGAAGGGATTTTGAAGGAGAGGCCCTTTGTTTCCCCTGCTTTGTTTTAATAAACAGAATACTCTCTGCGTGTGAATCCTACTTTGAATGCAAAGGGTTCTTATAACTGGAAAGCAATTAATTAGCCTTCATAATAAATGTTCACTTGGGGGAGATGTTAACTCATTACAGACTCAAAGATTAGTCCAAGGCATAGAGATCATTCATCCTAATGTTTGCCACCCTAAGATGCATCTTTAAAAGAATGAAAACACTAAAAAAGCCATTGTGCTCAAGAATGCTGATGATCTGGCACTTTGGGATTTTATTGATGTTCACACAGCAGTCTAACACCAACCAGGCTTTGAAATGTGTACAGACGGTGAGCCAGTAAGAAAACAGTAATTATGCTACTGGGCTTTTCAGTCAGCAAGAGCACGCTTGCTCTGTGTGTTCCTAATCGTATCAATCATCTATCCGGTTGCCTCGACCCACCAACTTGGCGTTTGCTGCACATGTCTCCCCAAGCGTTCAGGCGGCGTTGCAGTCTGGAGGACCTGGGTTTGAATCCGTGCAGGGGTGGCACATGGCGGCCCTTTGTGGAGCTGTAGAGTGATGATGGCCTGGCTGTTTCGTCCCTACCCGCACTCTGTCAGAAGGGAAGCAGCCAGCTCTGGGCCAGAGGACTCCCATTGCTCACAACAGACAGGGTCTTTCTCAGGCCGGCCGATGATTTGGACACATTCCAGTCTCAGACGATGGTCATCATGCGGCCCTTGCTTCTTAGGCTGAGTCCTCAACCATTTTTATGGAAGCTCTTTTCTGTCTGACCTTGCTTATCAAGCACTGACTAGAAAATTACAGTCTTCAGCACAATTCCAGATTGACAAATTGAGGGTTGGAAGTGGTCATCTAGCTTTCAGCCCAGTAACCAGTCTCACATCTACTCCCGGCATTCCCTTCGTTCACGCTCGCGACGGCTCTACCTCATGGAGAGCGTGTTGCCCTGACACATCTCGGGACCACTGGATGGGCGCCGGGTGTTCTCCGTGAGCACATGGTGAGACTGGCAAATCCACGGGCCGTTCTGGGGTGGGGTGGCTCCCTGGAGGGAGGCTGTTTAGCAGATTTCCCTACTGAAATCAGATCAGTAGTAGAGGAGCATCAGAAATTGGCGCCACTGTTAGGCTTTTAAGAGATTTAGGTCCCTGAGGATGGCCTAAATAGATTCTGGCCCACAGTTCTTGGAATTCTCTTGGATATGGTTTACCTCGAAAGGCTGTTCATGTTGTTCTATTTCTCATCTTTCACTTTGAGATCAATGTGTATTTTGCGTACACCATGACATCAGCGTTAAGCAATTAGGAAAAAAATCTAATCATTTTGCCTTCATTTTAAATGGTTCTTGGAGCTCCTCCAGTCTCATTGTGAGAGAGGCAAGGAAAAAAAATAAAAGGGCAATAATCTGATTTCTGTCCATATTTTCAGTGTTTTATGCTTTCCATTAAAGCCTTGCTAATCTCTAGTGTGCCAATCTTTTTTGAACTGCAGGGTCAGAAATTTCCCCCTCCCCCACTTTTTTTTCCTGAGTGGCCTGTCTTGGAAAAGTATAAATAATATTGATCCTGGTATTTAATACACTAATGAAACCCGTGGTTATTGACTACATAATTAATATACTGTCTAAAAGTGAAGTTTGGCAGCCCAGTGTATAAAGGTTTATATTGACTTGTGTTTCTTTGGCAATATGCCTTCTAAGGTTTTATTTATAGAAAGTGAAACAGGTTGTCAAGTCTCCTTTCCTTTTCACTTGTTAGAAGGCCACTGCTCCCCTAGTAAATTGAATGTTTCCTTATCTCAGAGGATTTCTACCCCACCCCCCACCCCTACCCCCACCACCATAAAATGTGATTTGTTCGCTCTTAGTCTTATAATCCACTCTTGGTAGAGTTCTGGCTTTTATAAACACTTTTGGAAATAATGAGCTTTTCTCAAAAAGGATAGAATTTAGATGTTTTCATTTGTTGAAAAAACCTCAACTAAGTATATTTGTTACTAAGCTAATGAGTATTGTTAATGTCTGTTGAGAAGGAAAGGAATAGGGTCTCTTTGGCCCATTGATTATCTCTTATATAAGGAATCCATGTTTGTTGTAGAAAAATAACCCACAGATAAGAAAAAACAAAATTATCCATAATCCCACAAATCAGCAATAACTACTTGTAGAGCTGACTTTTCTATGCACACATGCATAGAAATGTAGTTTTAATTGAAATAGGATTATACTATTCTGTAACACCGCTCCTAGCACTCTGGGATGGACATCTTTTCTATTTCAATAAAAATAGATCTGGATAATTTTATTTTGTATTTAGCTATATGGATGTATACATCTATTGAGCCAATTCACTTGCTGGATGTTTATACTCTCCAATTTTTAAATTTTATTTTTCTTAAGATATAATTGGTATATGACATGGTGTTCGTTTTAGAGTTACATATACTTCCTGATTGTTCTCATAAACCCCGTATTTGATGGGCAGGAACATTCATCCTTTGTGGCACTGTGAAAATGTCTGCTTTCTCTACTTGTGTTAGCTTTTCTGATGGCTTTCTCGGTGCCTTAGTCCAGTGATGCCTCCTATAACTCTGTGTGCCATCAGAGGCTGGCAAGTGATTTGAGCAGGTCCTAGAATCCTCTGGAGCAATAGCAGGTAGGTGAATGTAGGGGGGAGAGGGGAAAGGAAGGCTCCGAAGCCATAGATGGCTCCGCCCTACCTACCACACGGACGGGGCTGTGGCTCTGAAGAGGCCGAGATCCTCCAGTTCTCTGCCAGTGTGGCAGGAATGGCCTCGAGAACACATTTGACTCACTTTATAAATCAGTATATGCCAATGATTCTTCATTCAAAACTATTAGTTAATGATTATTAGGGCTTTTAATTATATTTGTGATGGCGGCTTTGTTGTTGAGTATGGGGCACTTGTCTCCTTTGATTGCCTATTCTGCCCTCCTTGTAAGCGATTTCAAATCAAGACACCTTGTCCCCAAGAACTTGGTCCATCTGGAGCAAGGCTTGGGGCTAAGTAGTAATATCCAAGTCAAGTTAAAATTCAGTGAATGGAGGGGTGCCCAGCTGGCTCAGTCAGCCGGAGAAGCATGTGACTCTTGATCTCGGGGCTGTGGGTTCGAGCTCCACGTTGAGCACAGAGATTCCTTAAGGAAATAATATATCAGTAAATGGAGAGATCCCTGGAGACTGGAGTCTTCAGGAAAGATTTCACAAAGGGTTGAGTGATTTGAGCCTCACAAATTGTAGCCTTCATTTCGATCAGGGGCCGTCTGATCTCTGTGGAAGAGCACGTGATGCAGTTGGTAAGGGCCGTTTGTTCCGTGTCGCTGCACATGAGACTGTGTAGACACCATGAAAGGCAGATGACACCAAAGGGAACGGAATCCCTTCTGCGAATAATGTCTGACCACGGTGGGGGAAGGGGGCTTAACTTACATCTATTGCCAGATCCTCACTCTTGCATTGGGCCTTACCTGAGCGTTTGTGACTTGCCAGCAACTTGTGGGTGTGCTCGGACCTTGAACCTGGCCATTTTTAACAGCCTCTCGGCTTTGCCAGGCCTCTTGATGACCGTCCCCTGGCACCCCCTACTTCGGAGCTGTTGATAAATCTCAAAAATGTATAATTTTCAAGAAAACAGTCCTCCTTTTTCCAGCCTTGACTACAGACCACGTGAAAAACTGAGTCCCACCTTGCCTCGTGAGAAATATTTATATCCAGCTCAGAAGTAATCGTGTAAACTTTTCATAAGTGTGAGCTGTTCTTATAGACCTGGACCTGCTCCCTGGTGTATTACCCAGTGGGTAATTGGAAGTTTGTGCTGTCATTAAAAGTGACAGCTTCCTCAGATAACATGCTTGGTGCTTGTAAAATGCAGGTAACTCAGCCTATATATAACGTGTGTGGTGCTGCTTCCTCGCAGCGGGGAGGTAACCCAGGGGCTGGTGCCCGGGGGGAATGCAGGGGAGCTCGCTGCAGGGAGCCGCAGCTTTGTGCTCCTCAATGCCCTGCCCCGAAACGGAGTAAGAACAAGCAGCACTTTTTTAAAAATAAGCCCCAACTGGACTCTCATCTCTCCTCTCACCGTTGATACTGCTGTTGGTGTTGAAGTTTATTTATATCTTCAGTCAGCCATGGTGCAGAGGTCATTCCTATTGGCCTAAAATTTTAGAGGCTTGTGTGTTTGCCTAGCAAAGCTGATCTCCCCAGCACTCAGGCTTGAAATGCAAAGCCTGTCTTTTGTAGACGCTTCTCCGTCTCCATAGCACCCCTTTTCCCACCACCACCACTACCACCACCACCATTTCCTTCTCCACTATTTACTTAAAATTTGAATAGCTTTAGAAGGTGCATCCCTGTAAATGAGCTCTCCTCCTGTAATGGGTTCTCTCCAGACAGCAAACCTTCCATAAAGGAGCCACTAATTAAGCAGGAAACGGTTTGTCTTGCTTAGCCACGTTCCATGAATCCAGCAGTCAATTTAGAAGATAGCAACATCCTTCTTTATAGCTATGATTTTAATAATATTCCTCTGTCTTTCTGCCTGCGGTTGATGGGGTGGGGGTGGGGGGGTTGTCCCTGTCCCTGTCTTGTTCTCCATCTTTAAAAGGAGATCCCTTTCCGTGGACTTTCCTTTTTTTTTTTTAAGATTTTATTTATTTAATTGACAGAGAAAGAGAGAGACAGAGAGAGAGGGAACACAAGCAGGGGGAGTGGGAGAGGGAGAAGCAGGCTCCCCGCCGAGCAGAGAGCCCGATGCGGGGCTCGATCCCAAGACCCTGGGATCATGACCTGAGCCGACGGCAGTTGCTTAACCAACTGAGCCACCCAGGCGCCCCGGACTTTCCTTTTTATGACAATCCTTATTAAAGTTACTCTTTCAGGATCAAACCCACGCCGAGCCTTCCTGGCTGGAGAGCGGTGCTGTGGGGAAGCGTGCCATTTGCAGTAGAGGCACGCGCCAGCTTTCAGGGCAGATGCCTGTCAGTCAGCTGGGTTTCGGGTGGTGACAGGCCTGAGCATCTCTAC